CCTAATATTCTGTGATTCAGTGATTCTGTGATTTTAAATTTACTGAAAATTAACTTGGTACCTTTCTGGCATATTTTTAGTAGTCAGTAAAGCATTCTCTTTTCAGTTGTCTCCATATTTGCTCAATAGCCTTTGATCTTTAAGGATTTGTTGCTGTCAGTTGCCGTGCTTCCAGTATCTTTGCTGCTGATGTAGACTCTAACCAGGAAAATACTGAAAATCTCATTATAACCTTAATGATCTCATTATGGTCCTTAACATGTTGTGATATGTTTTTTCTTTAGATGGCACCATGTCTTGAATGTGGACATCTTGTGCCAATGAACACACCCACTTGCATCGTGTGCGAGTCGCCAATAGCTCCACAGCTGCAGCCCCAAACCAACATCTGTGTAAAGGTAATTGAAAATAAATACAACAAAATAGTAATTTACCTCCTGACATGCATTTTTTCTAACAGATTACTTCATTACAAATATTTTGATCCAACTTAAGTTTGTGTAATTGCATTATGACAGCTTTGAAAATTAGTAGGATTGAAACCACCTTAAATGGAAATAGTCATTAAAGGTAAACCACATAAGCTCAGGAAGGCATGCTGAAAAGCACATGATGTAGCAGTCTGAATGGCAGGAATGCATGCATTTGTGTTCAGTAGAGAGATATTCTATGGTTCTATGATTTATGGCCTTAGTATTACTAAGCATTTTAAGTTTATTAAATATGTTCTCATTACTCTGCTTACCTCATTAGATTGTAAGTGCTTAGTAGAGATGGGCTGACAGGACTGGGGTGGTGAGGATATACCCAGAACATTGGGGCACAGTCTTGATCTGTGATTCAAAAGTGCTAGAGGTTTTAACTAGACGAAGTTTCTCCTCAAAATACATCCTACTTATGAATAAGGGGACCCAAGTAGTGGCCCTCCTTGATTCCCCTGGTCAGTGAAAAGGGTGTGAGGAGAAGGGGGCTGATACTGCATGTCCACAATTGCTTGCAGAGCTGGTGTCAACAACAAGGTTTTGGTTTCTATGACAATGAGACCCTGTCTGAAGATCAACACCTCCTTAGGAGAGATTCACCTCACAGGGCGAAGGTATCTTTGCCAGCAGGAGAGCTGGGTAGTAAAAAGGGCTTTAAACTGAAAACAACAGAGGAGAGAGGGTTACCAGCAGCCCTGTGAGACTATCAAATGACAAAGGAGATTCATAATCTGAGGCAGTTATCAGCTAGATGTCACAGGAGATTATAGGCATTGGACCAAGTTTAATGTTTTATGGTAGCCCTGATGTAGGTGCAAAGGCAGACCTGAGCTATTTAGTGACAACAATCAAAATTTCAGATTCATTATTCTTAGCTCTGGTGGAAACTCGCTTGTTAACAGCAACTGTGCTAAGATCTTTTAGGGCACCCTTATGGTATGTTATTACGATTATTACTGATTTTCCTTGCAGATTCTGAACTGCCTGTTTTGTGTGAGTGCAGTGACTAAGCAAGCTGACACTAATTTATACAAAGATCTGAAGGTATTGATGCTGGATCTCCTGAGGGAACTGTACCATAATTAAAAAAAAATGTCAGCAGGATACATAGATTTCTGTTGACCAGACAATATGGCCTAACTGAGGTCTGAAGCCCACCGTGCAGACTTAAAGGATCTCTTCTATTTGCAGGGCTGAATAACCACAACACTTTGTAAGATCAAGTCCTCTTCTTATTATTGTTGTTTACAGTTTTCAAATACTACATGAATTGTATTCTTTCTCTATTTAAAAGGGCAAAGTAATTTGTCAGGCGTGTGGCACAGGAAATCCTCTTCACCATAAACACTGTGTGACTTGTGAAAGCAAACTGCCTGAAATACAGATGGTAAGGCTTCTTGCATCAATCACGCTAGGGTAAATCAAATCAAAGCATAACATTCTTTTTCTTTGGAAAGCTGAAATAATATCCCTGTGTGCCTATGTTGCAAAAGAAGAGATTCCCTTCCCCATGCCGTATTCAAGCCCAGTACTTCCACAGATACTCCATCACAAATATCCAGCTAAATGTAAGTGTAACGTATATCTTCAAGTTTCTCCTGTGGAAGTCAGGATTGCAAATGCCATTGTAAAACCTCAGGAGGCTCTTAGAAAACAGATAGTCTTGACTCCAAGGAAGCCTTGGTTGTGTTCAGATTATTATCAATTGCAATAGAAAACTTCTGTATATACAACAGGAAGATCATTCTTGTTGGTTTGAATTGTTTTGCTGAAATATTATTTTACATTATTTTTATCTCAATTTGCTGCTTCCCCTATGTGCATACAGCTGCTATGCTTGTATCTGGCTGTGACTCAGCACAGAGGTGAGAAAAGCAATACTAAATGTTCCCCCTAAAATTGCTGTCTGCTTCAACTCCCCATTTAGCTTGCTCATTTGGTTCCTTAGAAGAATTTTACTTGCACTTCTGAAAAGTCTTGTATGAAAACCTTATGGTACATTTCACGTCTCCAAGTTGTGATAAGTACAGAAATGAGAGAAGGATAATGGTTTACGAGTTAAAATCTTCTGATTATAATGGCAACATCTTGAGTTCTAAAACGTCAGTAGCTAGAGGCAAAGATCTCTTGTATAGGCACTGAGGTGTCATTTCAAAGAGCATTTCAGTAGGGATCTGTACTTACCTAAGAAAAACATATGTTTAGATGCTCCACTGAATGTAGATATTAATATGTAGCTGCATATGTAGTTAGGCATGTGACTTAAATGGTGAGACCTGTAGTAGCTAAGAGAGAAAGTTAAATGCTTACTAAGAATATTAATAAGTAATCAGAGATTTTACTACTAAGAGTGTTTACTTAGTAATAACAAAGAGTAATTCCTGCAGAATTTATAATTAGTAATAATGCTGATATTACTATTAATGGCTATTAAATAATCTATATTTAGAACATATTTAGACTTGTGCTTTTGTAAGTTTTATCTTCTACATGAACCCCCAAATTACATCATTCAAATTGCAATGCAGGTCACAGATTTAAAATAGGGCTATTGTGTGTTTGCATGCTTGCTTTTGTGATGTCTGTAATGAAATAATTTTCCTCAGGTTCTGTTCCTTATCCATATTTCTGACTTGCAGAGAAAATAAAATAAGCCCTGAGGCAAAACCTAATAAAACATTTTAAGACTTATTTGTGATAACTAGGATCTATACTCAACCTCTAGATGTTCCAGCTGAAAAATCTGTTTTCTTTTGCATACCCATGTAAGTTAATTGTAGTAGGAAAGCTAGGTAATAGATAACTTGTATGAGGTAAAAGAGTGCAAAAAAATATTTATGTGGCAAATACCAAACTGAGAGAAAACTCTTTGTCTGAAGACACTTTCCCTGCCATACTCCTACAAAGAGAAGTACGAAGAAAAATAGCTGTTGTGTTTTGGATTTGAAAATGTAAGTTTATCAGCAGAGAAACCTCCCTCTTAATTTTGAGTGTACTTATACACTTATACATATTAATAAATACTCAGTGAAAAGAACATCATTGATAAGAATTTTTGTTGGTGCCAAGTTCTTCTAAAATATTTAAAAATTAATGAATACCACATTTACTGTGGTTTTGTAATGAAAAAAATCAAAGGTTAGATCCAAGTCAGTCTGTCACTTACTCTAAGTTGAAATAATTCTTTTAGACTAAATATTGTTTTGTTATCAAAGTAGCTTGCTTTCCTCTTTCCCCTTATTTGGCTTGTGAACTTTTCTTCATAAGAAGTATTTTCTCCCTAATGCTTGTTCTGTTTTATTAGCCCATGTTTGGAGGAGACACCCCTCTGCCATACCACAGCCAGCAAAGGAAGACAGTTGTGTGCTCAAAATGCAATCGTGTTAACCAATGCGATGCCCGTTTCTGTGACTGGTGTGGAGCCAAGGCACGTGCTTTCAGTGTTTGTGTTGACAATCTGCTTTTACTCATCTGTGACCTGCACCAGTTTTAAACTTCTCTTTGCAAAACTCTTGTCAGTTGGTACGCAGCTCATTATTGTCACAATACTTGCTTATAGCCCATAGGATTATGTATAGAAAAATGAAAGACTTAGATGACATCCTGACCCCACTACCAGTCAGTGACCTAAGGGTTTAGAGATGTAAACAAATTACCATAAGTCAATGAGCATCAGCTCACTGCATCAGTTGAGAAGCGATAACCATGTATTCTACCAAAGTAACATATCCATGAAAGGTTCAAGTATAGGCTAACCTATACTATAACCTAATGCATGTTTTCCCATATCTACTCTGGGTTATGATAACCTATATATGCAATTCTTTTGGCTGAAGGCCTCATTAACTTCAGTAAAGACAGGTACTTAGCAGCTGCTCAGTAGCATGGTACAGTCAATGTAAACCGTTTCCCCTATTTTTTCATAGGTATAGTGTTTCAATCTAAGATCACAATGAAGGAGAGTACTTTTTTTTTTCTGTGAGCTGAGTCTACATAAAATTTGAAACACTCCCCTATATGCATACATAACTATTGGTCCTGTACTGTACCAGGGGACTCAGAGGGCCATAGGGGGTGTTAGAATTGAACTGGAAATAATTGCAGTCAATATTCAGTATCAGAGCACCAGACTAGTAATTACAGGGCTTTAACAAAGAAAATGAGTATTTTTGAAAGTATACCTTAAAAAAATAACATGCCACAGTGTTATTTACCATCTGTGTGAAAAAATGTTTGCCTTCATAGCATAGAGCTGAGATATCTGAAGATTTACTGTCTTGCATCTACCAGTGTGTTAACAGTCTGCTAACCTGGTTAATATTTCTAATGTAGTAGCTGTGGGTAGTGCTACGTCCTTTTAATTCATGACACTGCTTTTCTTATTCCTAAACCATGCATCCTACGTTTCTGTAGTGACAAGTGTTTCATTGAACTTTCCAGCCTGGACCTCCTCCATCCTACTTCACTTGTTTCAAGTGTGGTACAAGCAACCGTCCATATGCTCGCTTCTGTGTGTCCTGCGGTGTTTACATAGAGCCCCCATCAAGGGTGGGTTCTCAAAACGGGAGTCTTGTGGATGCCAGGGACTCACTGGAGTTTTCTGAGGTAAGACACGCAGTATTACAGAGCCAGGTTTGAACACACCTAGAAAGCTAGTCCGCTGCAGATATAGATCAGCACAACTCTACTTATTTCCTTGTTGAGACAATGTTGTGGCCTGTGAGCATGCTGAGGGCAAAACCAGGGATATGTATATTCTGATAACAGCTTTCTGCCAAAAGGTAGCCTTTGCCAAAAGCCTTCATCCAGCCTTACTCTAAATAGGTGAGAAACAATCAGCTTTTCAAAAGTCTTAGCTCTTTAAGTACTTTTATTTTATTACTTGTGAATTATTTGTGTCCTGCTGATACAAGGTATACTTTCATGCCTATGTAACAGTGTTATTAAAACTCTGTTTTAAGAGAGACCACAATACTTAGAAAGGACAGCTTTTGTCCCACAAAAGCATACTTGTCATTCTGGCAATCATGAAAAGTTTTGGTTTTGCTTGAATGTGTTAAGTTGCATCATAGTTACAGACTGGTAATTGAAATCAAGAATTGTTAATGATTCTTCCTGCTAGCATTTTCATTCTTTTACAATTTTGTATGCTGTTCTAGTTAATTTCTGCTTGTAAGCCATTTAATTATATCTAATTAAATTACTTACACTTTTCCTTTCCCTCCACCCCCCACAGGTTAAACGATTTCAAGCTCAAGTTGACTGGCAGCCTCTTCCTATTTACTTGCCCAGATCAAGGGCAGAACTAAAAGAAAGAGAAGATAAAGGAACCCAAACCATTGGACTTTTTTACCCATCTAGCAAACTGTTGGAAAAAAGGGAGCTTGAGCTGATTTCACAGAAAGAAAAGCTGGAAAAGATGAGTGATCATAAGCCTCTCTTGACAGCCATTAGTCCTGGAAAAGGTCAGGAGTCTTTATTTTATGTTTTCTAAAAAGACCTGCAATGTATGACCTTGCTTTTTCTTGACAAGATTATAGTCTGTGGAACGTGCCATCAGTAGGCCACTGATTTATGTCTTTACAAGTTTGTCTTCCCACCAGTTACTTGTAAATGCAGTGCCTTAAAATTCAATCACTGATCTCCATCAATAGCTAAAAGAAAGCCTACCAGCAATATCAAAATTATGGTTACTGACCCCTGTGCAGCCTTACTAATTTGCTAGTAGTTAGATTTCCTCAGATCCTACAAGGCTTGCCTACATTAAGAACTTTTTGGGGGTGATATTGTGGAATAAATTATAGAAGTTTCAGAAGCAAATGAAACTAAACTAAAGAAAGGGATTCTTAACAGGAGTACAAAAAATAGGGTTGGTAGGAACCATCAGAGCTCTTATAGGCCCCACCTTCCAGCCCTGCAAAAGTGTCAGTACACGTAACATGGCTCATTGCAGAGACTGTCCATGCACAGACTACTGTATCAGTCCTGTAGACAACTTTGTTTCACAGTCCCTGGTTTGGTCAGTTAGTTCTTTGTGGATTCACTTGACTGTTTGTTATCATTCAAAAGTTTGCAGTTTTTAGATATTTTAGTTTTACTGTCATGGGAAAACTCCAACTTCAGCTTTCAGGATCCCATACTCTGGAAGACAGTCCATCAGTATTAATTAGGGACCTAATAAATGGCCCAGTTTGCAAAATTGCCTTTAACCTCACAGGGCAGTCCAGCTGTGCAGTCCAGAGAATAAGTTAATTTTAATCCACTACAGCATTAAACCATGGTTTGAAGGAACAGTTACCTTTTTTTAATCTGCTTTTCCATCTCTAGCTCTTTTCTACAGAATGTGGACCACTCAGACCTTTATCGAAGTCATTGGTCTATTGGGTAGAAAAAGCTGCTAATGCACATTAGAATTTCCTGGTTTGATTCCATGTATAAATATCCAGGTGATGCATTTTTTTAAAGATTGTCACTAGAGAAATCTGTTTTCCTACTCCTTTGCTCTGAAATGTGGCGCGTTCTCTTAGATATCACTGTAGGAAATAAAACACTTGAGTCAACATGTCAGGGAGCTTAATTTAGTCATAGATAATAAAGCTTTGGCCCATAATAGCGCTGAGAGAAGAAAAAAAAGTAACTATGAACATTCATAATTTTCTACTAGAAGTACAGCTCTTGTGAGTGAGAACTCCTTTCATTGGGAAAAACATTAATCCTCTGATGTGTACTTCATTTCTTTTTTTGCCGTATTTTTAGTGTGTTTTGAACAGGAGTCAAGTCATTTAACAGGAAAACTTTACAAAGAAGCTCTCCTTTTCTACTGTAACAAACAGTAAATCAGTGTGATATAGGTGTAATCAACTATTGACAGCATGAATTCAACTATTCTATCAGTGTTGCCAAAAATCCTTTTAGATGTAATAAAACATCAAACATGCAAAAATAGGTTCCCAGCCGTCTGGCTTTTTGAAATAGTGTCTGGGGATCTAGACTAGTTATGAACCAGTCTATCGCAATAATACCAACTTTGCTGGAGGGATCACTCACTAAGTAGTAGCCTAGCTTAGCTTTTTAAATTACTATTTTCAACTTGTGTTAGTATTTGCATGTGAGACTGTGGCAGGCAACGATTTATATTGCTCTGTGGATCCTTCTTTTTATAGTCTTTTAAAGCTGCCTAAGAAATAATGCTTGCTGTTTCAGTTTGTCATAGTTTCTACCAGTTTGATCTTGAAAGAATCCTCCAAGCACAGAAATCCTTGTGCGCTTGCCTTTTCTTGTAAAAGTCAGAGCAGCACTGTGCTTCTGACTTGGCTTCTTTTCCTTGTTTTGAGCTTCACTCAACATGAAGGGAAGGATAAGGTCAGAGCAACTTCATTGTGTAAGTTAAACAAGGTTACCAAGCCTACACAATTTATTTACAACAAAATAAATCATATTCTGTACTTTCCATAAGTATGCTCAAAAATAAAATTAGCCAGATCCTGATAACAATCACTTAAGAATGAGAACAAGTCCTTTTGTTTCTTTCTCTGATGAAAGCTGAACGCTGCTTCGGAAATACTTGGACAGGAGTTGCAAAAACTCTTAAATGGCTTAACATGAGTTTTGAAACCAGGCATGCTCAGCCCCTCATGTGTCATGTCCTGTACCAGCATAAAGGAATGCTGACTCTCTCCCAGAGAGCCTGACAAGCAAAAGAACAGGAATGCTTAAGCTCTTCTATTTAATAATATAATTGACATGTATTTCTTTGAGGAATAAATTACACATACCAGAATGCTGTATAGGTGGTGTTATGACTGCAGTTTCCAGATTTGGCTTATTGTTACCTGTCAGTGATCTCAAATCAACTAAAAATCACTTCAATAATGCACAATTGCTTAGTTGTAACATTGTACTTGTTTTTAATTATCTGGAATAGCGTCCTTCACACAGGGCCAGTTTTGATTCCAAAGGACAATTCTAAGACGCAGTTTTGTTGTGAATAGAAGTGCCCTAAGAATGAATTATAACCTATGGACAAGAAAGTTTTTTACCTTTTTTTAGGTTATAACTTGCTTTTCCTTTTCTTGATCAGATGTATTTTCTAAAGAAAAATTTGACTTTTTTTTTGTCTTGGTGAAAATATGCTATCTTTTAAATAATCCATGACATGAGTAGAAGAAATGTTAATCACAGTTTCAGGGATTTTTCCTCTGTTTAACTCTTTCTGATCAGGTTACTGGAGAAAACAGCTGGATCATGTCTGTGCTCACCTTAGAAGCTATGCTCAGAACAACCTTGAATTCAGAGCACTGATTGGAGAACCACAAATGGGAAAGGTACGAAGGAGCTTGTGAGTAATACCTTCCTGTGCAGCCTCATTAAAATATTGTGGCTGATAAACACTGGAAAAATGAATGTCTCCCCTTTTTTTTTTATACCTTATCCTGTTTGTGTGTGTAGTTTGTCATTCCACTTTTTGCTCAGTCTTTTACTGAATTTTTTTTTCCTGCTTTCTTTCCTATAGCAGTTTCTATTCTCTCACCTCACAGCTATAAGAGAAGTGACAGAAGTGAGAAAGCCCTTGCTCAGCTGCTTTTATAGAATCTCACAGCAGGAAATCAAGAAAAACAACAGGTCACTAGGATCTATGTAGTCGGTCACTTAAATAAGCCCTGCGTAGAAATGGGATGTAATTATATGCTTGCCTCTGCTCCAGGTTGGATTATACCAGCAGATAGCAGCAATTCTCTTTGGCTACATAGTCTACTTCTAGTATAGACTGTACTTGTATTATAGGAACAGGTTATTGCTTTTCTTACTGCAGGTGTACTCTTCAGTATGACATCAAACTGCATTAAAATGATTAAAGGGGTGATAGCAAGAAGGTGGAAACCGAAGGTTCTTCCTGAAGGTCCTAGAAGATAGGGCTGGTATGACTGAGAGATTATTTCATCCCTGTCCTGAGGGAGGATCAACTCTGCCTGAACTGTTCCTGACAGATGTTTGTCTTGAAGCTTTTCAAACTCACCCACAATGGAGATTTCACAATTGCCCCAGGCAGTCCACTTCTGTGCTCAATTACCCTTACTGTTCAGCTGCAGTACTGTATTGCTTTCTTTGGCAGCCCTGCTGGGTTAAGGAGTTGCAGTCCCTCACTCTGCTTCCTAGGTGCTGCCAGCACAACTGCTTGTGGCAACGTCCTTTGGACTGGATCAGTGACTGACACAGACTAAAAATAGCTCTGGAGGGTAAAAAGGTGCATCAGTGCTGGTACAAAAGTAGGTGGGCAGTGAGTAGCTGGAAGTGGGATGCAGGCAGAAGTAGGGCTGGGAACTCCTTGAATTGGCATAGCTACTGGGAAGCTTTTTACCAGTGTCTGACCTCAGTCTCCTTTGTTACTATTCAAGCTCACTATTTCTTAACCTGTCTTGACTGATGTGACAATCATTCAACCCCCCCCACCACCAATTTTAGCACATAGAAACAACTATAGAAAAGTTTGTGAATACTGGGGATCAGAAATCTAATTATCATTTGGCAGATTACACTTTTGGAAGGGCCAACACTCCAGCAGATACTTTGCATCTGAATTCTATACCCATTGAGACCTACATGGTCCACCAATATGTTCAGAATCTGTAGTACAAGTATAAATATAAAAGATACCTGCTTGGTCAAAATGAAGGATAGGTCCACTGGTACTTGATTCCTTTGCTAAAGTATTCAATAGAATATGCCTGAAAAACATTAAATTGCCTAGAGAAGGCTATTCCTGCTACTTCTTAGACTTTCGTTATCCTATTGTCTTGAAACCACTACCCTCAAAAGTAACGGAAGTGATTCAAAGTAGATGTCAAATATCTGGGTTTAATGCTGCTTTTTCAGTTTTCCTGTAGATTAGAAATACAATAAACCTTACATCAAAATTCTCAGCCTGCTGCGATACAACCTTGTCAGCTTCATTCCACTTCTTCATAATCCCCTGTGCACTCATTTTTGTATAACTTCAATAGTCTTCTTGCCAGCAATACTCTCTCAATGAATCAGTATAGAAAGTGGCCCACATTTTGCTAACGACTGTGTTTCTGCAGACTGGTACAGTTAAAGCAGCAACCAGTTCTCCTGGAAGCAGGGAGCCCTAAGCACAACACAGCCTTTCACACAGCTGCAAAATCTGGGTGGGGAACAACTGAACTTTCATGAAATGTAGCATCATTACATCTTTTGGATTCATTTAATATTTCAGCCATTTAGATATTTACAGCTATTTAAAATACCACCTGCCCCTTGCTCAGTTAGATGGGAAGTGCTGGTACAATTTCACAAGTAGGCAAGGCCCACATGTGTGATTTTGCATATTGGTTCCACAATATCATTAGCAAGACTTATTCCTAAAACTATTTCTGTGTACTTTTTGTAAGAGATACTAATGGCTGCTCTTTTCCTCTAGATTAATTCTGCAACCATCTGTGAGGATGACAATGAAGTCACTATTACATTGAATTACACTCTTGCTATTAACAAGGTCAGTTTGGGGAATGAGGCCCATTTTTAGGCAGCTCTTCTAAAGCTGTCGCTAGACTAGTCACCTGAACACCGATATATATTTTAAATTCAGGTCAAAACAAGAAATTCTTTTCTTCAGAGGCTGATTAACTCATCACTTCAGAGAAAGGAATCTTTTTCTTTTTCTGTTGGAGCTGGCTGAACAGGTATCTTTATCTGATTGAGCCAGATTTCATGGTTATGTTGCTATCATCTTGGACTTAATTAGTTTGCTATTAATATTAACATTCTTCTTACATCTGATGTTGTTTGATGATTCTAGCACCCCTTAGCTCTTGATCTTAGATCCTCCTTTTCTTCAGTATGCAAATTGTGCTCTTAAGAAACAAAATTAGTAATTCTCAATAGTTTGGAGATAACGTTTGCCAGAGCTCCCGTTAACCCTACTACTAGGTAGTAGTAACTACCCTACTTCCGGAATTAACTCCCTACTTCCAGAATCACCATGTTGCAAAAACCACCCACATATTCATTTACAGCTTTTCAAATATGAAAATATACTATTTTAAAAATCCAAAATTTAGACTGTATCTCATGTAGAATCTTTAAAAGCTTACCTTGCTACGTAGTGCCTGAAAAGTTGCATCACGTCATTTCACAAGTGGGGAGTTAATCAGATCTCTCCAGTGGTAGACACACTTTCATTTGGATGAGAATCTTCATTTCATTAAATGAGGTTGTGTCACTTTTTTTTTTAAATCAAAACAAAAACCTAACACAAGGTTTAGAAAAAAAAAGCTACATGATTTTGCCTCAAAACAGAGTTCAATTGCATATAATTTGTCTTGTGCTAATTTGAGACTGATATCAAAAGCCTATTTATTTTTTCACATGCAACACTACTGTTTTGTGCTACTAAGACTGTAACAGCATTACATGATAATCTGATGAACTGCCTGCACTTGATCATTCTACAGGATATTCACACTAATAAACCAGTGGAGTTCAGCAGTCATTACCTGAATACTGGAACAGAAGTCAGAGATGGACAGGATGGCAGTCAGACTAGTTTTGGTGAGATTTTTTTTCCTCCCCCCTTCTTTATGATAGGCCATAAATATAGTAGTCAAGAATACAGAATTAGTGCTTAGAAGGTTAAACACTGAGATAGGCAAATGAGTATATTGGCACATTACGCAATGAACAGACTCTATCAAAAGCTCACGGGAATGCTTCATCCCTAGAGGACAGCTGGAGAGGCCAGTAAACTGCACCCACAGCTCATAGCCGTGTCCTTGTTATAGTGATAAAAGTTTAGATACTTTGCATATTCTTTTACAATAGGAGCCATAAATGCCAATATTATCTCTACTTTTGAGCTGTGCTTTAGCACTTTTGGCAAAGATAAGAAATTATGAAATACATTTATTCTAGACCTAGTTTTCAGAGATGTTTAACTTGCATCTCCCATTGGTGTCAGTAACAGCTCAGCATTTTAGGCATCTCATATTGGACTTAGGTTTTCATTAAATCAAATAGCTGTAAAGTCAGCATTAGAATTCAGAAATTCCTAGTGTCATTTGAAAGACTTCAATTCATGTGTAAGTTTTGTCTTCTTTGTGCTTCCAGTCTGAGACTTGGCAAGAGGCAGCCACAGCACTAAGACCTGTTTTTTTGGAGTGTCAATAACGTGACTGTGATTCCAGGCACTTGAGCAGCACTAGCTCAAAGGGCCCCCACATGCTGTGGAATTCCCTTATCAACCCTCCTGCACATTGGTAGATTACGTCTCTTAAAAATAATGGGCACACATATCTATTCAAGGTCTTCTGGTCTTGTTCTTTAGTATCTGGGAGCTAAACAGCATAGAAAAAGTGTAAGGTTTTTGGTCCATATTAATGAATCCAAGTCAAGCCTGTTGAACAGCTGCAGCTGGTTACAAAAAAAAAATCAAACCCCTGAAAATCCACATTTCATTGAATCTTCATTTCAAAATAGCAAGTTTTTAAGTCTGCCTAAGTGTAAACCTTTTGTTAAAACCAGTCTGATCTGCAACAAATATTTCATTACTTTTTCTTGTAGAAAACTGATAAATATTGCTTTCATTTCAACACAAAATATTCTTTGTGGATAAATTATTTCCAGATCTCTCCCCCAAGTTCTTGTTAGGATACTGACTTCGCTTTGTATTAACACTTGTTTCCTTTTCTGGTAGGCAAAGATGAACATAATCTTTTCCATTCAAGAGGCAAAACAAAGAGAACAAAATCAAGAAGACTTACAGAAAAAGAAGATAAGCTCTCCGTAAGTATCTTCTGCCAGTACAGGAAAGACTGTCTATAGAGCAGAAGTAACATGAAGGAGGGAAGGAGGAAGGGTGAAACAGAAAGCTTTTAATACTGACTGGGATGGGGGGGAAGAAAGGGGAAAAAAAGTGCAACTTAATATAAAACCTGAAAATTGGTTGCTGACATTTATTACAGAACTGGAAAAAAACAAACTTTGTTCCTAGTAAGAGATTAATTAAATTGTTGCTCTCATTTTTTGAGCCATTCTGTTTTACTGACACAGCATTAGGCCTAAAGGCTGTCACAGACCATTTTTGTTACAGGTTTTCCTCAGAAGCAACATCAGGCGGTGGCATTATTGTCTTCCCTTGACCTTACTACCTGGTTTGACTCCATAGGACATACCCTTGGCTGTGCTAGAACTACTGTTTGCACAGTCAGACTGTGAACTAGACACAGGGGGGCTCATCTGTGCAACCAGCTTTTAAGTCAACTCAATTTTCCCATAAAGCTGAGATGACAGCACAACAGAGGGCTAGCTTAATGCAAGCAGCAAGGCTTTACTTCCACTAGACACCAAATATTCTGGAAGCACTGCTGACTAAATGGGTCACCAGTAACAGCACAGAAAATTTCAAAAGTGAAACTTGCATAATCTCAGCTATATTCACACCACTGCGCGCATTTTCCACCTTTACTCAAAGGCAGAGTATGACCCAGCCCACCTACTTGTATTTTCATTATGCGAAACATTGGCTGTTTTCTGTGTTTCCACAGCCAGGGTCCAAACAACTACTGGATGAACTGGGTCCAAATGGGAAAGGAAGAGTCACCTTGGTAGAACAATTGCTCAACGAAGTAAGTTACTGCTTGCTGAAGTTTCCCTTTCCAACTCTGACCATTAGCCTGGTATGCGTCTTCAACTTCATGCTTAGGAGGCAACATCCTTGCAATAAATCTGACTGTCTTCAGATTGAAAGAAGAAGAAAGAGGCTATTTTTAGAGAAGAAACAGGCTATTTTACATGTATATATGTTCTCTCCAAATTTCTGTTTGGCCAGTGTGTAAGGCATTCTCCTCTGGGTTTGTCACAGCCATACAGAAAGAAAAATATATTAATTTTACAGCTTAGGGTCAAGTCCCCTGTACAGCAAAAGCAAGCATAATCTCTACCTTTCTGCTGTGTAGTAAGGTGCATCCTGACTGTGGCATCTAGTTTGACTGCTCTTGTTACATACATTTACTCTGGCTTTAAACTAAGAGACTACAAAAATTTTCAGAAGAAATTACAAACTTGAACATTTCTTTGTCTTGAGCATAAAGTCCCTTTGCCAACTTAAATTGGTGTAATATTAAAGCAAGGTGGAAGCTGAAGAATCTTTCTGGCTTTAAGAGCTCACCTTCCCTCTCCTGTGCATTTTAGGGAGCTGACCCAAACTGCATCAGCGATGAGGACCGACCTGCTCTCACAGTTGCTGTCCTTAACAAGCACGCGGAGGCAATCTCCCTTCTTGTGCAGAAAGGTGCTGACATCGACCAGCAGTCAGGACTGTAAGTGCGCACTGATTCTCTGCCTCAGGTCTTTCGAAGTTTTACCAAAAAAACACTTGCACTCCAATTTCAGAGAGGATTAACCTCCCACCCCTTCTCCAAAAATCTGTCATCAAGGAGCTACATTCAAAGCCAAATTAAAAAAAAACAAAACAAAACAAAACCAAATTTACAACTGAGCAAAAATAATAATACAAAGTTGCCAGCTTTGAAGATTTTTAATTATTTCTGTTAGGAAAGCTGCTATTCCACTCCTTCCTCCATCCACTTTAACTTAATCCAATAAACCACACTAAAGCCTACCAAAAAAAATTCACTGCGACTCCTAGCGTATTCTATATCCTCCTATTCATTTTCCTTAGTTTAATTTGCTAGACCACTTCTCTATGTACCAGGACAGTTTCTTTAGGTAATAAGGACATTGCTTATTCCTCCTATGCAGGCACAACACCACTGCTCTCCACGAGGCAGTTCTGCTTGGATTGGAGGGAGAAGAGTGCATCCGAGTCCTGCTACGGTACGTACTGCACACCCACAGTCTGCTTGCACACATCCACTCGGCAGTACTGCAGGCCAGAGCCTGCCTGAGGCTCAGCGCTCTTATCTCAGTTGTGTCCCTGCAGACAACAGGAAATTCCGGAGTTACTCTGCAGGAACATTTACCTACAAGCCACTTGACTAGTTCCAGTAACTTGGAATTAATTTAAGTAGCTTAAACCAGTCTGTTCTTTATTTACAGCTGCAATGCAAGCATAGAAAAGAAGAATGCAAAAGGGCAATCGGCATACGATTTGGCTGTTACAGCTGGAAAAAATGAAGTTATTTCTTTGTTTGCTAGTAAGCTTGGACAGGGAACACTGGACAAACTTGCAAAACCCAGGAACACTGGTCTCATCAGTGTGTGATTGCAATCACCTTTCCCTCCCAAGATGGAGCTGGAGGTTGTTTGGGAGCACTGAAGCGCAAGTGTCTAGTTTTGTCTGCAAACCTCACAACCCTGTATGATCAACGTGGGCCCCATAGCAGCCAAATACTTTGTACAAGACTCCCCCATTCCTTCCCAGCAGTTCAGAACACAATTCTTCACTGACTGTGCTTTGTTCTAAAAGATTCCTTTTCCTTTCCAAACTCGTGCAAGGGGAGGCGCCAACCAAACCTTCCAAGGCACAAGGACACCTGATGAAGACTGCTTAAGACAGTCTGGCACCTGAGCAATAACACTGTAAGATGTACTTTGGTTACCTTATTTTCCATTTTGAAGTTTAAAATTCAGCATTCAGTGTAGCTCATTGCATTAAAGGTCAGATTCTTTTCCTCCAGAAAACTGAATAAAATTGCTTTGCTGTTTTGCCTTCAACTTTTATTTATAAATGCATCAACATGAGGCAGCAGCCAAACTACAAACTGAAGTTTACAAGAATACGAGGCACACTAAGATTTGGTATAATTATACATTACTAGCCACAATCCTAAAATCACTGAAGGAGTTTTAAAACTCCTTCCCCTTTTTATTTCCAGAAGCATTGGTATATTCAGGATTGAAAACAGAAGTGCCTGTCACCTATTGCAAGAAACAAGTTTTTGCACCAGAGCTACCAGCATCTCTAAAATGGTAACAGCTCGGTTTAAAAAAAAAAAAGAAAAAAGAAAAAGAGAAAAAAGAACAAATAAAACCACAAGTAGTAATCTTTAATTAAACCAACAGGAAGAACAGGAGAATCCCTGCAGAAAAAGATAATGTAGGCAGTGCATCAAACCCCAGGTACTTCCGAGACAAACTCAGGTGAGTGAAGTGGAATTGAGTCCATTCTGAAAGCAGTCTCAGGAAACACAGTCATTCAAAGTGGCAGTGTCAGAGCACACATATAAGACACATGTCTTTGGCAAGTAAGAAGCTACAGTAGCTTAGGAGACCAGTTTTGCTATTTCTTGACGCACGTTCTGGGCCGCATTTTCAACCTCACTTGCCTTCTGAGAAATTTCTTTTTTCTGCAAAAAATAAAAATAATGCATTACTGTCTACCAGTAAACTGAGCATCATACAACTTCAAGGGGAAAGCGGGCTAGGTCTCCCATAAGGCAAAGGCTAAAAACCAGGAGAGGACACACCACCTGATTCAGCACAAGTCAGGCAGCAACAACCCACTTTGGCAGCACTATGGTAAGGAACAAAGAGGCCAGCTAAACAGCCCCAAGATCAGAAACTACATAACCCTTCCAGTATCACAGGGGTGTAGAAAAAACCACGGTGCCGCGGTGTACATACAAGTGCATTTTTCATGCGTTCTTTGTCCAGCTTCAGGAACTCCTGCAATGTCAGGCTGGTAGGATCTTTCTGAAGGGAGAGAAAAGCACAGCCCGCAGAGTGTTTTTTGTGTTCCTCCCTGAAAAGGGAGAAAAGGAAAAAAAAAAAAGAAAAATAAAGAAAGGCAGCTCACAACAAGACACTGGCAGCCATTCTTCCCGGCCAAGCATCTCAGTGGTCAGCCCAGCCGCTGGCTCCCACCTAGGCGCCAACCTAAGGAAGGGGCTGAGAGGTAAACCACCCCCAGTACTCACAGCGGGTCGTCGTCAGGCTCCCAGCCCTCCAGCTCCTTTAGGCAGAAGAAGCACTGCGCCACGTCAGGGCAGTTCTCGCTGGGGCAGTGCACGAAACCCGCCGCCGCCATCTGCGAGCAGAGGGAGAACGACAGGGCCCGTTAGCCCCGATCGCACCGCACCGCGCCCCGCC